CAGTTGCCTCATGTAAGTGAGTGAAAACTGCAAATGGATATTCAACGTTTTTTAAAACATCCCATAACCTCTGCCAACCAGAGCCAGTACCAACAAATGCTGATCTGGAAACACCTGGGATCAGCTCTGCAAACCCAGCTAGCTCAACATCGGATCTTGCAGGGCTGTCGTCGGGGTCAGTTAGGTTGCCTAGCAGCTGTACTAAATTACAGCAACTACCAAATGATCTTGGTGACAAGCACTGCTGTCAGAATTCTGACTTTTTTCTCAGAATTCTGACTTTTTTCTCAGAATTCTTTTTTCCCATACTAAACTGAAATAAAATATAAAAATCAGTTAACTTTTTTTTATTTTTTCCCAGTGGCCCTAGTCCTCCTCCGTACATTATGTTCTCAACAACAGGAAAGCACTCAATAAATACATGTTTAAGCTCATTTTTGGAAAATACAAAGAGGAGCGGTGGATGCAGCCCATAATCAAAGGCCTCCATCTTCGACATCATCATCCTGCATTTCCTCTATCTCAATCCCGACATACTGTCTAAAAAGCTGCCAAAACATGAAAAATAGAATAATGTTCTAGAGAACTCCTCATCTCTTTAATCAACTGCTTAATAATTAAAGATGGCAGCAGCCAGTATCGGTTTCCTTCAGTGAGCGTCTGAGGAACAGACGGTCTTTTGAGCTGAAGCTGTTTATCTGTTGTGAGGAAAAATACAAATACTGAAAGCTTGGAAATCAAGTTTTGGTTTGAAAAAAAATGTCAGGTACTGTTCATTCATTTCTGTTTCCAACTAGAAGCTTATCTAGTTTATTAAGCTACTGTAGACTGATGGGCCTCATAGGGAGCGAAGCCTAGGCCTAATGATAATAATAATGATGTCCTAATGATAATAATAATGATGTCCTAATGATAATCCCCTGTGCAGAAGTTGAGTTTAGAGGTATTGTTTGATTGAGGTTTAGATGAAGCATAAATGCATTTATTGAGATGGACTGAATGCACAGTTTGAATATGGTTAGAAATACAAACTTGTGTCTGTGTTTGTCTGCTCACCTGTCTGCAGGATATCCTGTGGGGGAAGCAGAGACACAACAAGGTTAGGATTACAGGTACAGATTTCAGAACAAAGGAGAACAATGTTACATGAACCTCTGGGTTGCCCTCTGCAGGGATCAGATCACTGATTTTCCACCAGGATCGAGTTTAGCCTCTAGTCAATCTGTGTCCTCCACAAATTTAACTCTCACTAAAAGGCACTAAAACGAGACGAAACAACATAATTTAAGAGGGAAATTATGGAATTGGAAATATTATCTTATCCAAACCAGGTTTAAAATATACAAACCAGATCAAATATATGTATATAACTATAGTTTTATTGGTGAAACATCTGGGAATCATTTATTCCTTTCCCTGTTTGTTTCTGGTTTTAGTGCCACTGTTACGCCCTTTAAATATTCCCCACTAGGGGGCAGTAACAAGCAAAGTAGAAGAAACAAAAGATAAAACCCAGCTGTTAATTAGCAAAATAATTGCTTTCATCAATTATTATAATAGGATCAGCGCTACACTACTTTAAAAATAATTAATAACCATGGACTTTAATAAATCTTTTTAAATTTAAGCCATGAAAACGCACATTTGTACCTTTTGAGTCGTGTGTTTTAATTTGACAGTGGCTGGCTCTGCGAGAGGGCGGAGCCACAGGAGGAAGTCTCTTCTTCTTTTCCCTTTGTGACCAATCACGGTCCTTCTCTGCGGGTTTTTCAGGGATGTAGGTGATCCGGATGTGCTGACAGCGCTCCCTGTCCTTCGCACTGAGGAAGTCCGGGAGGTCGTTCACCTGCAAACACAAAACATAAAATTATTTCATTTAGAGCTAAAACTCAAAGCTTTCATAAAATTAAATATTTAAGTTTTTAAGCGCATCCACTGAGATTTTATAGAAATAAATCAGAAATAAAATTTATCACTCTTGACTTTTTTTATTATTTTCCAGGATAAATGTTCTATTTAGGTTGATTATCTTAAAACCACCTCAAACGTCATGATTTCAGAGACGTTTTCGTGCTTGATTAAATGTTCCTGAAATGTGAGTTTAAAGAGCAGGGTTAGTTCGGTTGATCTCCGGCGGTTATAAAAGGCCATCAGAGTTCAACTCCTGCTCTAATCTGTAACTTTAATACAGACAAGGATTACTGTTAAACCTCTGACATAACAAGCTGAGGGAATTAGCAGCAAATGTTTCTGACTGGTTGAGTGGTGATGCATTAACACTAAACCTGTTTTCCACGTCTTCATTTGGTCGCTCTGTTTAAAGATAATCATCAATCAGGGATTTTTTAATCAGTTAATCATATTTTAGAATAGAATAGAATAGAAAATCCCTTTATTGTCCCACAATGGGGACATTCTGGTGTTTACAGCAGCAAAATGATTATAGATTAAATTGATTTGAAATAAAACAATTTTGGCAGATTTTCATTTGTTGTATAATTATGAACTTTACTTTGATTTTTCCCAAAATAAGGTATTAAAAGAACAATCAGCCACATGAAGCTAGCACCTTCCAGGTTCTATAATCGTGGGAGAGAAACACAAAGAACCCATGTGGCAGCAGGAAGTAAGGTAAAAATGTTCTTTAAAAGGAATTATCCTTGGAAGTTTAAGAACAGATGAAAACCAAATGTATTAATCTCAGTTTGCCTGAAAGGGAAATAGAGACATTTCTGATGGGAAACAAGACAGCTACGGTGAGAATTACATCCACGAATAAAAGAAACCCTGGATCATTAATGAACCCTCGTAGGACTTGGTAACCAACCAAAATTACTCCAACAATGATGTTGCAGCTTGGCCTGTTTTCCAGTGTAGTCCTGTTTCTCTGACTGTGACTAACTGGATGTGCTCTCTT